GCTTGTTGGAAGTAACGCCCATATTGGCAAAGTATACGTCAACGGTCACCTCCCAGACATACAGAACGCTTTGCGACCGCACGCATAATTTTCCATATAAACGTAAATGTCCGACCTTCAATAATCCACATTTCGCAAGCTCTTCAACGATGATTCCTTTCTGTGACTCGCACGCACTTTCCACAGCTCTATCCACATAATCACGAACTTCTTTCTGACAGTTCTTCAGCAATTCCGAAAGGTTTTCCTTCTCGTTCAAAAGGAAAATTAACCTTAAACAAACATTTGTTCAGATGACTGTCTCCATACGATCCATATCTACGCGATGGAGGGGGACTGTCCACGGAATCGGTCGATTAAACAGTTGCAAACCCAGGTGCAGTCGCTGATGACTTCTCCATAAGAGAACGCGGGCTGGTAGGGAAACGTCGTTGCACCTCTCCCGCCACCCCTATGCCTAATCCAGCAAGTGTCTACCGCTGCTATGCTCACAACAGTTTCCGTAGACATTGAAGGACTTTGCAGTCCAAGGAATCGCTGTTACTGTATTACGCGCGTAGTTCCCCATTTTAGAGTTCTTTAGTCGCCATGTTATACCGCTTCTAGAGCTCCTCGGGTAATCTACATTTCTCCATTGATTCAACCGCTTGGCGTGTAGTGCGCGAGCTTTGAGGCCTGCTCCGTATTCATTCTGGAAGGTGGATGAACATCATTTGATGTTCATACACCTTCCTGGGCGTGGTAGTCCTGCCAACAAGCTCGGAGGATGTACCACTTTTGCAGCTCAAAAATACGTGAGGAAAGCGCGACGAGACCATGGCTCCGCCCACTGCCTATTGCAACGCCCAACTTTCATATTTAAATGCCACCTGATGTTGCGGTGTTCCACTACTAACTCTCTTCATTTAGAATTGTGAGAGTGAGGCGATAAGGGGAGGAAGCTGGCACGAGAAGAAACTCGCCCGAGCACACGCCTTTTCTTTCACCTTTGCGTACAAGCGCCGATTCAGTACAAGGTTTCATGTATGGGACTATCGGGCGGCCTTTTCTGGGCTTCCTTCTTCAGCTTTGTGATATCCACCTTCCTGTCCGTACTATATGATCTCAACCCATTTTGTGAAAGGCTGACTTTTGAAGGGTAAAATAAGGAAGCGATGTATCAGCAGAATCGATAAAGTAGCCAGAAGGTGATCACTTCATGACTTAAGCTTCTGCATTGATCAAAGAGAGGGAAGGTCACGGGTAGAAACTTATTTCTTCCAAGGCAGGTCACGGTAGCAACTTATTTCTAATGTGGTTCCAATTGGTAGACCTACGCGCTCTGAGTGCACGCAAGACTGCGACGATGGAAATTTTCTCCTCTTCAGACACTCTAAGCAATACAATGTGGTAAGAAATCCATAGCTGACTGATAGAGTTGTGATCGTAAACGTAAGAGACGCCTGAAAGGGAGAGTAAGCGTTATAGTCTCCGAATGCTTCCATGATCACTCTATATGAAGATCGCTGAGCCCAAAGCTTAGAGGGAAGAGGTCAAGTCCCTACCACGAATTAGAAGCTCATTAGGAAAGATAAGTGCCATAGTCTGGAGACAGAGAGCGGAATTTGTACTTCGTTTGAACGGGCCGCGAGCGTTTTTATATGGGATATTGCCGTGTCGAGAGAAAATAATCATTTCCTTGCTCACGAAAGAGACCATTTATATGGTAGTATCCCACGAAAAAACGCGTTTTGTTCGACATAGTGCTATGCAGGCCCTTCCCATTTCCGGGATATGGAGTTAGCAAGTTTCAATAATTCACCGGCAAGCCTGTAGTCCGGGATATGGATTCAGCAAGTTTTCAATAATTCATGGGCAAGCTGTAGTCGATGGTGTACAGGCAGTGGTGCTAAAAACTTTGCCTTGATGATTTACGATGGAAGTAGGGGTAAAGACTTAATATGGACTGTGCCTAAAAACCTGAATGGCAAAGTTTCTGGTGTCAATTAATCACATCACGGGGAGCGCTTCGAATTCCACTTTTGTCCAGTAACAGTAGCAGTATATGAGTAAGATTTAGACTATCCACTGACCGTCGGGAGCAAACCTACGTACATGTCAGTCTGTTTTTTCAGGCACTCCGTTAAGTCAGTTTTCCAGTCTTGTTTCGCTGCGGATGCTGGGGCGTGTCAAGGATGCAAGGTCTGGCGCGGCGTCAGCCACTTATTCCAGGAAGGATTCTACCCGTAATTGGGCTTCTAGATCTTGCGCGTAGCAAACGACGCCTCTTGCACACCATACCACCACCGTCTTAGCCTACCTAGGTATACCATGAAAGGCCAATTTATCCCTTCAAAGTGTTTACGTTAGGAAAAGAAAATGGAGCATAAATCCCACACCTACCTGAGTGGATAATCAGAAATCATCATTGCCACGTCAAAAATGGCTTCCGTAGGAAAAAAGAGTGCCAGCTGTTCGACAAATGCGGGAATCCTGAATAACTAGCACTTTAGATAACTGAAACCGAGGCAAGCAACATTTTTCAAGCACTTACCCTTCTACGTATTTGGTCATCTCCTTCGATAGACCAGCTTGTGAAAGTACGTCAGCCAAGGTGAATCCTTCCTTGCACAACGCCAAAGCGGTACAGAACCAGTCGTCGATCAGGTGAGCAGTTCTTACTTTGGCTGCTCCATCGCGACCATAGAACTCATCTAGTAGTCGACGTGCGTCTTTTTCGAGATCGGTAAAGCACTTAACATTCGGGTAAGGAGAGCACAAGAACAGGGTATGGTCTCAGCGGTTTACCTTCCCTAACTCCACGCAAACTTGGTTGAGCTCAAAGGAGACGCGAGGATCAAGCAGCGAGTGTTTCCGGACTACCTGCAACGATGCTATACATACAGCCCCTAGCAACTCATGAAATTTTCACACAACTTGAGATGGATCTTAGATGAACGGATTACCGAAAAACCTATAACATTAGCTTTTTATGCCTTGAAGTTGATCTCAAGGCATAATCCCTGCTAGTCTTATGGGCAGAGATGGTAAGCTATCGCATCTTCTTGGTGTATCCCCACTTTAAGGACGATAGTAAGGAAGGGCACGCCAATGATAAAAGCAAACAAGGGACTTGTCCTGTGAACGGTCTAGACTGACGTCGGATTCTAGCAGAACACTGGTGCTCCAAAAAGTGTGAGCTTAAGAAACAGCGGCGGTTCCAGCACTTATAGAGAAAATCCTTCTGCAAAAAAGAGCCCGACAAACAGTAACATTGAAAATTTTGAAGCAATCTTTGTTGTCTTTCATATTAGGCCAGAGTAATATATTTTAGCGCTTTTACAAATGTAAAACACCCAGCTAAGGAACAATGTTACTGAACATCTTGCTGGAGCTTCTGATATGAGTAAGTCCTTATATTAGGTTGTCCCAAAAGTTCGTGGCATTTTTCTAAACCTCGTATCAGATGTTTCCGTGCAGTTATTTCGACGATGCGATTACTGATGATGGCGAAGAGGTTAGGCAAGCCAACCACACAATTACTTTACCATCTCTCGCGAGGTCGATGTTCCATATCCAAACCCACGCGTATATTTAAAATTCAAACATTTTCCTAAAACTTCGCTATATTACATCTTCTACCAAGTCGCAGCCCCGTCGCGATGGAGCACTACGCGCGTTTGCTCTGAGTGTAGCCGTTCTGATAGCTACCTCCCCTCAAAGAACTGCGCCACCGTCGTTGGAATGGCCCGATCGCTTGAATGACTTCTACTTCGGAGACCAACCTCCTCCAGAGAGGCCATTAATACGAATCAACGCGCCATATAGTCTTTGCCCTGAGAAGTTTTCGCCAAGGTTTCCATGAGTTGACACCGATACGTCCAAACGGAGCGGCATGTGGGTACTGCCTACAACTACCCTCGCGAGCGGGGTTGCGTCCATAAGGGGTGTTCCATCTCGCGCTCGTGTGTCATGCTAGGCGGTTGGGGTGCATAACGGATGCTATAGTTTTTTAAAAAGCCTCACTCACTGCAAATATAGACGCTATAAGCAAGGACGTACTACTGCTGCGTGGAGTTACGACCTATTTTCTCGCCGCTGCGTCTCTATCTGCACAATGCTTAAAAATCATGCAAGGCTTATTTCGGGGGGGGGGTCCCGCGCTTTTCCCTCACTTCACCAGCTAGCATCCAGCAAATTCTACGAGTCATTGTAGGACATACCTCTACCATGATTTGGTTATGCTCAGAAAAGAACGAAATCGAACAAGCCAGCCGTTTGGACGAAAAGATCCCTCGTCCACGAACAATCTCAATGTAGTCCTTTTCAGATAATTCTGGATCCTGAATTCGAATACTAAACATTCATGTAAAATGTTGTGATATCTGGGAAATTGAACTAAAACATAACGTTTTCTTGTTAACACAGCCGCAGTTCCGTATGAAAAAAGGAGCGAGACATGAATGACGTAAATACGAGAGGCGCCCTTAGAATAGCACTGAGCGGGAATCCCATCCATAAATATCAACCGATATTCCGTCAATTCGCCTAGCCGCCAGAGCCGGAAAGCGAACCGTAAGAGAAGGGAAAAAAAAGAACATACCTTGGAAGGGCTTCGAGCACCTCGTCGAAAGCAGTCATAATTTTGGGATCGTAAACAACTGTGCTCCAAAACGATGCTGACGGCAGTTGAAGAATCCGTTCAAATGTAAAAGCCAACGTATTCGCAGCATTTTGCCAGTCGCTCAAATCCGTCTTGGATACATTGTAGGCCAGACGTGAGAGAGTAGGGCACGTAGAAGGGACTACCAACGATTCAGCCTGAATTCCCTGATTATGTATACCTCTGGCATCAGAATCATCAAGGAATGTGTCACAGGGTCAAGCGGGAGAATAGGACAAGAAAATGATGCTTTACGGCTACGGGATTTTCCTGCTTTATTCCCTCTGTGGTGGTAGTGAGCGCTTATGGTCGCGAGAGTGTAGTGACACTCAACAGGTCCTTGACTTTTGCAATCCCATTTTTCGGAATGAACCGCGCTTCCTATTTTCATGATGAAACATAGCGCCAATCTAGCGTTATCTCGGAAGTGAATTTTGTCAAGGTTGCGTTCATACTTTACGATGGCGATTTGGTCGCGCGATTAGGGAGAGCGTTTGCAGCCCTGCCGCGCTCCCCGTCAATCGTTGGACTAAGAATCCGCTGAGTCGGAAAAAATTCGAACGTTGCAGTGGTTCAACAGTTAGCTAAGGGGTACAGTCGGTCGTCGGTTGGAAGGATGAATCAATCATACGAACTGTGATCACGGGGCGACCTTGTGGACCAATCAGGAGTCATTCATTGGATCCAGCTCTTACCATTAGTGAACTCTAGTCCAGGTTTTGATTCCGCATCCACTTCTGTGCTAATGGTACTGCCAGCCACTGGCCCATGCCTATGATTAAGGTAGGGTCGGTTGTACTTGGAGATGGATTGACGTCAACAGTGACGTCACACTCTTCTAGTTTACGACATCTTCCCGAAGTTTCTATGCTGACCCTTTTCCCAGGGTGTGATTCAGGATATTCACGATATTCTGCGGCTAACATAGCAGCCTTCATTGACTGGTTTACTAGGCATACCACAGCAGTTCTACGTTCAACGTCTACAGCTGTGGGGCAACTACGGAATATATGGCACCATCTACGATGACATGTGATGGGTTGGGCATAGCGCCAACCCGTTTTTTTTTCTTTCGGTGAACGACAATACTGTACCATATCGCTCTATGAGTCGTTTTCACCTGCTACTGCCGCTTACCCGCTTATATTACTGCGGGGAAACGGGCTATAGGCGCGGCATATCTAGTCTCACTGACACCCCTCTCATCCGCAGCGTACAAGACTGTACGCAAATCATAAGGCGTCAATTGATTCCAACTTCTTTGTTAAACGTCGGAAATACACTGCGATCTCAAAGTTCAGAAAGTGAACTGAGAATGAAGTATATAGCACCCCGAGATGAAAGATCTAAAAAAGTATACACTTACCAATTTCATCGTTACTGGTGAGCTACGAATGCCAAGAAAAAATCCTAAATAATGAGCTTGACCAGAGTCCAAAACAAAATACAAACGCAAAACTGTACAGTATTACGGATGGATCCATCAGATTTACTTGAAGACATTCTATCAAAAACTTTTATGAGGCAGATTTTATTATAAAGTCTCTTGAAAACATTCAATTCAACAGAATAAAACAATCGGCTGTTCGAAGGCCTATAAACAAAACAACTCAACAACATTTCTATGTATGTAACAGCGACAACAAGATGTAAAAGTCAACAGTTCAACAACATCACAAAAATACAAACTTGTACAAGTACTACAGTGGAAAAAGTTGCATCAAATTTTGAAAGCAGCGATATAAACGAAGAGTTACAATAATTGAAATTACAGGTAACAACACTACACAATAAAATTCTCAAACTACAATAACCGCTCAAGGGCTCAGCGCCATTTCTTCGGACGCTTGCTCGTATGCCCACGAGGACGACCGAAATAGGCCGACACGCGAGCATTTTCGGTAGCAGGGCATGAACAGAGCGTCGTTGTTTTGAAATTTCATGGAAGAATCAAAACAAAGGTAGTTTGAGGATGCTAGGCCACGTCATGTCTGTTTGCCTGTGTCCTCTCACTTAGCAAACAGGCAACGTATACACTCATCCCGCCCCTCAAGTCCTCTCCTTTACTTCTGAACGACCCTCCCCCCAGCGAGGGAGGGCAACCCACTGATCAGCGCCTAAAAGACCCAAAAAAAGCAACTATCTAAAAAATTTTCTTTGGTTCAAAAACGAATCCTCTTCATCAGGCGGATCTAATTACGACACTCCTTTGGTAGTATTCTAACTGCGTGGCAGACACGATTCCAAGTCTTTAGAGAACGTAACAGATTACCAGACAAGAAGTAGTGGCGCAGGCGCGCCTTCCGCCTTGCAACTCCTAAGTAGCTTTGCCTTAGGGAACTGATAACTCGTCCAAAATAGCGGGCAGTACCGAATGCCACGCCCATCTTCATACCTTAGGTATGCCACACGAGTGTTTCAGCAAAAACGTGCTCAAGCCTAGCCGATGCTATACAAAACCAGTGCGCCCAAAACGGATCACGCAGCGATTGTAATGGACACAAATCGCCTATCAACCGTTAATAAAAAGTATTTAACAATCTTGGTTACCAGCTTAATAACATCACATACTGTACGCCTATTTTGGTTTACAATAAATTTTGTTTCGACCCATTTTAGAGGATTTCTCCTCCATTGGCGGCCACATGACCGTTACCGTACCATGCAAGGATTCCGGTAACCAGTCTAGATACTCTTCGAGGAGGTAATTCTCATTCTTCTTGAACTCTTCAATCAGTGCCGCTCTTGTATGAACCTAAACAAACAAATATCCAAGGAATCGGTGCAGAAAAACGGATTTATAGACAACCCACATCTTTCAGTACCAGCGCGTTCAAGAGACTTTCTGTGCGCTTCTGCAATTTCGCCCACGATCGGACCATTGTCGTAGGCGGCGCCAACATTTTCGGCACAAACTGGGCCAGCAGTGGCATTACCTAAACAGAGGATCTTTAGAACAGATTGGAATCGATGGAAGAATTCACAAAAGCGTTAAATATTTACCTCTCCTGCTAGGAAAAACTGAGCAAAATATCTATACAGCATAATGTCATTAGGAATAGGTCGCTCGATTGGATCAAGGGGCCATTCCAGTGGACCAAATGTCACGGCTACACTCTTCACTATTTCATCTTTTTCTGCGTCGTATCTGGAAA